TAGTGAATATTCATTAGCCTATATAGATTACAGCCTGTTGGAATATTACATGAGAAGTGAGACTTATAGGCGCTTCCACTGATTGATGACTTTGATGGTGGGGTTGCGTCATGCAGGGACGTCAAAGTTGGAGGGCTGCAGCCGGGCTCAGGACACGCTAATTTAAACAAATGCAAGAGTGAAGAGGGGTAAAGAATGCGCAAACACAAACACACGCACACCCCTCCTGGATTTGTACTCCTAAAACATCTCAAGTGGAAGGGGAAAACTCAGCTTGATGCATATAAACTGGTGTTAAAGTCACCAGAAATGGTGCTTCTGCTGTTCCTGGCTGCACATAATTTACGTTTGCATGATGCTAGGAACAAAATCAAGCAATACAGATTGAGTTTATGGTCTATAATTCAATATCCGCCAGTGACAAGATGCTGTCAACATAAAACACACCTGCAGGGGAGATACAACTTCATAAACGCTGCTAAAAATCACAAGCCCTCTCTTCTGGGATGAAAATGGATGTCACCGAACTAAATTACGCACAGCCTATTTCAGCCAGGTGTTGAAGTTAACTTTAATATTTTAATTAGCAGACAAATGTGTGAAGGAGGAAGATTTTGCGCGCTGCACCACCGCGCTTCTCCACACACTTTATGTGTCGTTTGGTTGTTTGAAGTGATCACAAGCATAAAAGACAGATGCAGGCTGAGAAAAGTGCGCCGTGGTCGGCGTGTTGCTACAGGTTGCCTCCTGCTGCAGGGAGCAGGGGAGGAAGAAACGTGATGCGCAGGGGAGCAGGACAGAAACTCCGTCCGATTCTCCCATGAAACTACAAAGCAGAGCTCGTGAAGGTGCTCACGGGCCGCTCAAAAGTGTCGGTAAAGCCCAGCACCACAGGGGTGTAACTGGGTTAATTATTTTCATTGCAACAAAACGGAAACGGCCACGGGATTATTATTAGAGCAGGAGGATAAACACTTGTTATAAAGCAGCCACTCTATTTATAAACCATAGTTGGGCTTGCTGTGGGAGCCGGTGGTGTCCCAGCGCCGGCTGACTGAGAGCAGCAGGTCTCTCGGGTTCTTCATGAGGGTTATCTTGCGGGGCAAAAGCCACCAGATGGTTTTAAATCTCTGCAACAGAACCAAAACGGAAAGGCACTTACCGCAGAGTCGGATCGCTGCACCGCGACGCACAGGGCGAGGAAGAGCAGCGGCACGGCGAGCTGTCGCAGGCTCTTCAAGTCTTTATTCATCTTGGGGGAATAAAACAAGGATCCGCCTGCGTTAACACTCTCAACCTCTACGGCTCTCTACTCGCGTGTCATAGCCCTGCTTCCCCCCCTGCACACTTGCTTCTCAGTGAAATAGAAATAATAAGAAAAGGCACTTCTTCTCGGCGTGTAGGCTGTTGTTGCGCTTGCAGAGGCTCCCAGTGGTCCTGGCTCTGGCACCGTGCGCCTCTGCAGTCCCCCTCTCTAACTTTTTCTCTCCTCGACTTGCCTAGCCGGATCTACTTCCCACACGCAGGGCGCACTGATATTACACACTTGCACCTACACTATCACTCACAGTTCATCTAAAATAAAGTTTCAGGGTGACTTGCACCATAAGATTAGTCCATAAACATGTGCCATTCTATCCAAATACAGATTATTTTATGTTGTTCCACATCATTCTCCCACAATAAAGATCCCCCTAATGTTAGAACCTCGTATGCGCGGATGGATATGGTGCTTTCCTTCTGCGTGCCTCCCCAATCCTACCCAGCGCCTGAGGCTGCACAAAAAAAACTTTGACATTAAACCTTTATTTGACATTTTCTATACGCCTGGACATGTTGCATTCCAGTCAGATTATTAAAGGCCAAATTCTCACTTTTGACTCCTGACAGGAGGATGCTGTTGGCAGAATGGAAGAAAGTAAAAACTCTTCTTTAGAAAAGTAGTTCATCACCCTTTCCTTCTCATACTGCATTCTTTTAAGAAATTTGTGGGGCAGGAGGGAGAAGTCATATTCAACTGCTGGTACTGAATATAATATATAAAACTATATGGATAAAATCATCAAAATGTCCTTAAACACACATGAAGTTCCTATTTTCTTATGAAATATTTGTCCTGAAAGTATAAAACCATTTCAAATGCAGATGACATCCTTCAGGGTCTTCAAGTTATAGAGTAACCAGGAGTTAAGGATCATTGATCTGTTTGACAAGCTTCTCTCTCAGCTTATTTGTTTTAGCTCTTGTTCCTAGAAGGCTTAGGCTACACACTTTTCTCACTATATTAAGAGCCAGGTGCAGGCCAGAATTTTAAAAGGCACTGAGCATCTCAAACACCACTTTCACAGGGTTTGGGGACCTTATGCCCACCAAATAGAGCTAGGGCTGTTGACTTGTGCTTCCGAAGTTCGATACCATCGTAGCTATCTGTTCTTTTATGCTCTGAAGAGTTGGAATAAGATAATTTTGCATATTTAAATTCTAAGTAACCACAAATGTAAAAAGGTCAGTGTATGGTCTAAGGGAAATTTGTGGTGTAAGATCACTAGTTAAAATATAATAGGGGATGTTTGACTTGGAGTTTATTGGACATCAGTGACTGCAAGAAAAATAAGTTTTGTGTTATTGTCATTTTTGCAGTTGTGTGTAATTTGATGTCCTTATTCTCATAATGTCAAATAAATAGGCTACTACAGCTAGTTGCCAGCAACAACAGTCCCACAATAACCCTACCTTCCCAAAGGTTATAATGTTTGATTCGTGTTTTGTAACTGTTTAACAATTTAACGGATAATTTTGGAGTCTGAAGTTTGTGATGCTGTTGAATTGTGTTATACTGACAGGTGTTTCTATTAGTTTTTCCACCCACAATGAGGAACCACATTTCCATTTGTCACCGTATAACTGGTATAGACAGCATCTGGCATTGCTGCAAAGATGATCATGAATTCAAAATCCAATGGGCCAATTTTAGCTAACTTTTAAGAAAGTTTCAAGCATCTAAGTTTTAAACTTTTTCTACTATAGCCAATGAACTTTAGGTTAGGGTTGCGTGTACAGTTCAGGTAAGTAATAGTCTGATTCTAGGAGCAATGAAAAAAGATAATATACCTTCAAATTCCTACATCAGTGCGAAACTAATGAGGTCCCAGGCAGGATCCCTGTGGTACACCACAGCAAGAAAACAAGCTGTCAAGGAGAACAAAGTTGCATTTACTGTATATAAGAGCAATGATGTAATTTAAGCAAGAACATGTATGTAATTTCAACAAAACCTTTTAGTAGATAAATTAACATGTTGTGATAAACTGTTGAAGACTCACTCAAGTTAAACTAAAATAGAACATTTGCAACTGTTTGCAACTTGAGTAAATCAGTGTCTGCACCATATTTAGAGCTTTCAAGAACAGGACAGAGGTGTTAAAACAAAGTTTTCAACTTTATCTCATACTTCAGATAGATATGACAACACAGAGCTATGATAACCCTGCAGTATATGTGCAGCATCTTTGTTTTTGAAAAGTTAAAAGGAAAACTATGATATGCAAATTTATGATGGACAATAGAAATATAATGCAACCACATGGAGTTTATTGGACATCAGGGACTGCAAGAAAAATAAGTTTTGTGTTATTGTCATTTTTGCAGTTGTGTGTAATTTGATGTCCTTATTCTCATAATGTCAAATAAATAGGCTACTACAGCTAGTTGCCAGCAACAACAGTCCCACAGTAACCCTACCTTCCCAAAGGTTATAATGTTTGATTCGTGTTTTGTAACTGTTTAACAATTTAACGGATAATTTTGGAGTCTGAAGTTTGTGATGCTGTTGAATTGTGTTATACTGACAGGTGTTTCTATTAGTTTTTCCACCCACAATGAGGAACCACATTTCCATTTGTCACCGTATAACTGGTATAGACAGCATCTGGCATTGCTGCAAAGATGATCATGAATTCAAAATCCAATGGGCCAATTTTAGCTAACTTTTAAGAAAGTTTCAAGCATCTAAGTTTTAAACTTTTTCTACTATAGCCAATGAACTTTAGGTTAGGGTTGCGTGTACAGTTCAGGTAAGTAATAGTCTGATTCTAGGAGCAATGACAATGAATAATATGCCTTCAAATTCCTACATCAGTGTGAAACTAAAGAGGTCCCAGGCAGGATCCCTGTGGTACACCACAGCTAAAAACAAGCTGTCAAGGAGAACAAAGTTGCATTTATCTAAAAGACATAATTAAATTTAAACAAGAACATGAGTGTAATTTCAACAAAACCTTTTGCTAGATAAACTGACATGTTGTGATAAACTGTTGAGGACACACTCAGGGAAGGTTGTCCAAAAATAGAACATTTGCAACTGTTTGCAGCTTGAGTAACTCAGTGTCTGCACCATGTTTAGAGCTTTCAAGATCAGGACAGAGGTGTTCAAACAAAATTTTTAATTTTATCTCATACTTAAGATATATATCACAACACAGAGCCATGAAAACACTGCAGTATCCTATATGTCAGCACCCTTGTTTTTGAAAAGTTTAAAGGAAAACTATGACATGCAAATTTATGATGGACAGCAGAAATATAATGCAACCACATGAGATTAAATGAAAGTTACTGTTTAGTACCAAACTTAATGTCCTTATAGAGACTGGCAGGACTATAGATTGTGGTGCTAATTTTTGCAATGTTTATAGAGAGACTAACTTTTTAGGTATATTATGGGGGGTACAGAAAAGAAAAAATGCAAAAATGTTCATTAATGTTTTTATAAAGCCATAATTAAGTATTATATGTGGAGGTCTTTTTATTATCTTTAATAATGAAATGTTTTCTGTAATTCGCTGCTTTTCTCGTGTTTTAAAACCAGATACAAATTTCTCCTGGACAGATGAGTCCCCTTTGCTGCTCCACACAAACTGACGAGGTTATGATCTGTGTGCGTGGGTAAAATCTCCTGTTGTAGCCAAACGTATGGAGGCATGAATGACATGTGTTGGCCCCTCCTCTCCCTGCTGCTGTGGTACGCTGCAGAGTTGAAGCGCAACAACCCGGAGAGCGCAGCAGCGACTTCGCCGCTGCAACTTTGGTGAGTTGGATAAGCTCTGATTTTATGAAAGAAATCACCCACAGAAAGAGGCAGCTTTCGTGCTGGTTGTGTTTTTACGCGTGAGGCTGTGTGTGTGTGTGTGTGTGTGAATGCGGGGTGTGTTTGGCGGTGGGACTACTTTATCTCTCTCTTTCTGTGTGTGTCTGTCTCCGGGTAGATGACAGGGGTTTTTTGGAGCCGTCGATGAGCGCGTTTGAAGTGCCTTGCTGGTGAAGACAAGGGGATCGAGTCTCGACCTGCGGTTCCCCCTCTGCCAGTCGGATCAAAATGAAATTCCTGTAAGTCGCCTTTCTCTTACAAATCACTCTCCACAGTGATTTCTTCAAAAGTTTTCGGCTTTGCAAACAGCCGCAGCTCTGGTCGCGGCTGCAGGCTACATTAGCCGAGCTCCGGCGCAGTCTACCTGCCAGATAATCACCGGGGGAAACTAACATTGAAATGTTTATTTCTCTGGCAGGATTTGTGTGGTAGCAGTCGCCTTGGCGGTGAGATCTGCGCACGGAGTAAGTCCCATTTGCTTATTATTACACCCCTTCAGGTGAAGTGGCTTCTCCACTCGGTTTATTTAGAGCGCAGATGCAACATATAAACGATGAAGATGAACGTCTTTCATGCATTCTGCCTGTAAAGTTGCCGGAGGAGATACTTTTCATGAATGTTTTACACATAAATGTCTCAGTTTATCCAATGTGACCACTCTACACTACTTAAACCCACTTTTAAATGTGTTTAAAATGACATTTTAACACAGTTTGTTGCATTAATTCAACGTTTAAATGTGTATAAAGTGATTTTCAGACATGTGTAGAGACGCGCACTCTGCACAGGTCTCCAAGATGCCTTTATGCCTCCATGCGTCACGTTGTGGGTGTCTTCAGTCTGTCGCATGAGGAGACACATCTCTGAATATTTTCTTCGTCACGACACAAAATTTTAAAGTGATTTGCATGACTTTTTTAAGTGTCATATTATTGAAATTTAATTTTCCAGTTACACCCAACGTTGCATCATTTGTGCTCTGTCTGAGCTATGGATGTTTTTTTAAGCTTTGGTGTGAAGTTTGCATATATAAGTAGCCCTAGGGACTGAAAAAGCAGTTCATATTTGAGTGGGCCCGCTCAGAGTAATTTGCAATTCAAACCCCGCCCTACTGTTGAATATTTAACATAAGGAGATTATTGGGGCGACGGGCCTTTTTCAAGCCACACCTATGCAAGACTAAGTACTGCTGTGGGACACATCTGCTGCTGCAAGAGTGCAAGCAAATAGGGAATACGACTTTCCTTTCACCACCCAAAAACACATCTAAACATTTAATAATTCATTTTTATTGGTAAATAAGTGCTGTTTACTATACTGTGAATCTGTTTTCCTTAGTTTGTCATTTTAATTTTACCCACTTTTCTCTTTTATTCCATTTTATCACACCTGAAGTCTTTTTGTCAAACCATGTATATCTACATTTCAAGTTCTAGCAACACTTTACTTGAACCCTTCCTATTCAGCATTCATAAGCACCATATAAATGTTTGATAAATGGTTTAAATGCACTTTACTGTAGTTGTAAGCAGATGAAAGAACAGTATGATATGACAGCATCTGTTTATACACAAACCTATGGGTGTCCACATGAAGAGTTAGTAGTTGACAAATACATTAATGACACTTTTATCTGCTTAAAACTACATTATGGAGTGTTATGATGATTTACGAAAGGCTTTTATTTTGCTTATAAATGCTAAAAATTAAAGGGAGTTAAAGTAAAGTGTTTTGATGTCATTTAGGCTGATAGGGGGCAACATGGCTTCGTTCTTGTTCATTGGGCAGGATTTGTGGTTGAAGATGATCAAAAGTATGAGCTATATGTGTAATATCTGTACAATATTTAGCTGATGTGAACAAGAAAACTTCCAAAAGTTTATTTTCTTTGAGCACTCCTTAAAGTGACAGCTTTAAGCTTGGTGACCTCTGAAAACTACATAAGATTTCATCCAGTGGTGACAAAATACCATTTAATCCAAAGCGTCTTATGGTATCTTATATCAGTTTGTAGTTAAATCTAGAGCAACGAATCATACTTTTATGTTTAAGTTGATCTTTATATGTAAAAGCATACAGAGGAACTACTTATTTAAGCAATGAAGTCAATGAAGTGGAGAAAAAAAGTTATATTTAGTTGCATAATACTTAAGTACAAGTACCTAAAATAGCACTTAAGTACATTTCATGGGTAAATGTACCCAGTTAAACCCCACAGCTGCTTATAATATCATAATTCTACACTATACAGCTATAGAGGGAACCAAACCCTCAACCGTAGCAGTGTCAGTGTCTTGCTCTACCAGCTGAGTGACAGGAAATGCTACTAAGATTGCCATCAGCTGTGACAGAGAAGCTGACAGGGAAACATTAAAGCGAATCAGCAGCAAAAAGCTTCCTGTGTCTCAATAGGGCTCATTTGATGAAGCTGCATTGACTTTGAATTGACTCCTCCACCCACTTCCCACCTCCTTGTTGTATTGTGTTGTAGCCTACATCTGTGTGTGTATGTGGGTGGCTGAGTGGATGAATATGTCTGTATGTGTGTTGAGTGACTGACAGATGAGTTCATTGGGTGGTCTGGGCTGACGTAACCTTGGTAACTGTGTCTTTGGGTATCGCCGTGGTGAGGCGGCGGTCCGGCCCAGAGTAATGTGTGCTTTTGGCTGAATTGTGAAAGTTTCAGTGCTGCTGATAGTATAAGACAGGTTTTTCTCAAGTGTTATCAGTGTCATCAGATAAGATTAAATGCATGCATCGATTGTGGCTATGGTTGTGGTAACACTAAAGATAGCACATATCAAGATTGCAACGTTTTAGAAACTTTTGAACTCAAACTGTATAAACATAAACTAATGTTTTTATGTTGGTTAATGGGTGGCTCTTGAATTTGGTTAAAGTGTAAACTAGGTGTATTTTGTATTTCAATTACTGTTCCAGATAAAGTTCATACTGCCTCTTGTTTTTCATGAGATTTGGTCCAGGGCTTGCACACATAAATTTTACCTTGCAACAACTCCATTAGCTTTTAGCTGCGGCCTCCATTGGAATAATACTGTAATATAACCTACTATATGTACTGCTGTACACCATAAAATGCTAATAGTTGCCACCAGTGGATTTTAGTTGATGTACTGTAGCAGAGTTTGGCATCAGAAATGGAAACTCACCATTTATTTCTTCTGTTCTGGACAAAAACAGTTGAATTTTGTGTTTATCTGGTTTGCTAGTTAGGAAGGAGCCTATATTTCTTAGAAGAAGTTTTGAAGGAGCTAGCTTTGGTAGTGGAAGGGTGTAGCGTGTTAGCATTGTTTAGCTTGCTGGTTAGCGAGTTAGCTAAAACCAACAATATGTTCAACTGAACTGACACCTGTCAAGCTACAAACAACAGTGTTACCAGGAGGTAAGAGCTAAACACACACACATTTATTAAGCAACACTAAGTCACATTAAATTCAGAAATATGTGTTTATTTGGTGTATTAGCACGTTAGCATTGTTTAGCTTGCTGGTTAGCGAGTTAGCTGGCTAGTAATGATGCTCGAACCAACATTTTGTTTAGGCTAACTGAGCTAACTCCTCTCAAGCTACAGACTGCAGTGCCAACTGGGAGGTAAGAGCTAAACACACAAACATTAATTAAGCCACAGTAAGTCACAGTGCATTTAGAAATATGTATATGTTTTGGAGTACTAGTGTGTTAGCATTGTTTAGCTTGGTGGTTAGTGAGTTAGCTGGCTAGTAAAGATGCTAAAACCAACAGTTTGTTCAGGCTATCTGAGCTGAGTCTTCTCAAGCTACAGGCCATAGTGCTAAGATCTTAACACGCAAACATTAATTGAGCTATATCAATTCAGTAAATTCAGAAATATGTGTATATTGTGGAGTAATAGTGTGTTAGCATTGTTTGGCTTGCTGGTTAGTGAGTTAACCAGCTAATTATGATGCTAAAACCAATAGTTTGTTCAGGCTAACTAAACTGAGTCTTCTCAAGCGTTAATTCAGTCACATTAACTTACAGTAAATATGTGTATGTTTTGAACTATTTTGCATTATTTTTATTATTAGTAATTAACTCCACACCACAACAGTTCTTTTAGGAGTTCACTACTTTTAGCCCGGTTGTTATATTTCTGGATTATTTCATTGCTAGCTGATTCAGGGGCAGATTTATGTTCCTCCAGGGGTCCTATTTTCCGAACTCAATATCATGTTCAAACGGTTTTAGGTTTGAAGCAATGTTTTTCCTTAGGTCATATGTTAAGTGTATGTTTCCCTGGGTCAGTACGTTGCAGCTTACAGCCGACTGGTGTTATACTCCTTACACCTTCATATTTGTGGCCAAGACAGTTTTCTTGACTTTAAACACTGATATCTCTGCAGTAGCTGAACAGATTTTACAACTCAAACTGCATTTGAAGTGTTCATCTCCCTTTGTTCTTTTGCATTTTGAACTGTGAAGCTGGCCCTTATAAATCTCATACAAGGTTAGTTATCAAGAGGCCTAAAACGATAGGGATGAAGGACTCTGGAAACATAAGGACAACTCAGTTTATTCTCCACTCAGACTTTTTTGGAAAATGATGTTTCAGTGAACATACAGAGAGAGCAAGACGTGTCTGTAAGGGCTGACACAGCTGTTGGCACAGGGAAAACATCACACTCGGGTGAGGAGGAATGGTGAGTAGAGGGGAGGAGGCATGATGGGAAGGACAGGAGGGAGTTAAGGGTCGAAGCAGACAATTCTGTACTACCTGGATGGTTAGGAAATGCACTCTTTACATTTTTTGGAATGCAAGATGGATGGGTTGTACACATTTGTACATATTGTTTAATCTCAGTGTGGTGACAAATTAGGGTTTTAAGAACAAGTTTGACACTTGTGGATTATGTTGTATGAGTGTATTTCAAGGCAGAAATTTAGATTTTTATCCTGTTTGAAATATCTTATGGCAGGTAGTGTTTTTGCAAGTTTAATCTCCAGAAAATACAAATCACATATAGGCTATGTTGTGTTTTTGCTGACATTTTTGATGCTCGCTATGCAGTTTTAGCTTTTTGGATGTCGTTTTCTTACTGTTCCGCACACCCATTGGTTTCCATTTATGTTTGTGTGATATGATAATCAGGTAGCAGACTCTTTAGACTTGCATGAGAAGTGATCAAGTTTGCTTTGTCAAAATTAGGTGTGGGAGTGACGTCTGAGCAAAACTATATGCTTCTCTCAGTTTTTGAATATTAAGTTTCTTAATAAGTTTTCGTTGTTGCACAGTCTGTAATTCTTGGAGATAAATTAATGTGATAAAGCTGTTAATACTGTAGATAATCTATAGAGGTGGCATTTAACGCAAAGGTTTTCGCAGGAAACGTAGGATCTTGAGAATTCAAGAGACACCAATAGAGATGCCAGCAGTGGTTTTGGTGCAAAAATGATGCTGAAAACTTGCACACTGACAACTGGTGCA